ACATTTACATCTGCATTATTTCTCTTTATTCCTCAGGATTTGAGGCGGCGACACCATCATTAGGAGTTTTTTTTTTTTTTTTTTGACTTAAAATATTAGTTTAGGGACATAAATTTGTTTCCGCCACAGAATAAAACATTTTGAAAGGTAATTGCGACTTTTTATCTCAGAATTGCGTGTTATAAAGTCAGAATTGTGAGATATAAGCTCGTAATTGCGTGAAATAAACTGCAATTCTGATATCTTTTCTCAGAATTGCAAGTTATAAAGTCCAATCCTGAGGAAAAAATTGCGTTTATATCTCACAATTCTGACTTATATCTGACTATATCTCACAATTTCATGTTATAAAGTCAGAATTGCGAGATATAAACGCAATTCTGAGAGTCAGAATTAAAAGTTTATTTCTCGCAATTCTGACTATCACGCAATTACGACTTTATATCACAAAATTTTGACTCGCAATATTCAATTCAAGTCACATTTATTTGTATAGCACTTTTCACAATACACATCGTTTCAACGCAGCTTTACAGAAAATGCACGAGTCCACATTACAATAGCAACTTTACATTTCGCAAATTTAAGGAATCAAAGAATTGCGAGATAAAAAGTCGTAATTACCTTTTTTAATTTTTATCCTGTGGCGGAAACAAGCTTCCATAGACGTCTATAGTTGAGCTGCAGGATTAACTGAAATAAAATTGAAATTGCAATATGGCATTTATCAAATCTCAATACCTGCAATATATCCTTAACGTTTATTTTTCTGTCAAAATATAAATTTGATGGTTCAACGTTTTAAAATGAAGAAATTAGGACAGCCATAAAAAAAGAATAATTACTATAAAATATTATTTTACAGTGAAATATTACCATAGTAATATGTATTATTTAGTTTTTTTAGTAATATTAATAGTTATTAATATTATTATTAATATTTTATAGCCATATTGATATATAAATACAAAATATTATCCAAATTATGCAGCTCTTAAAACAAGCACAACAAACCTGGAATTGTTTTTAATCACATTTTAAATTGCAATCAGAAATTTCCCCCAAACGGTGCAACCCAAGTCTATAGAAGCCTTCACAATTTTAAATGAACTAGTTCAAATTGTAACCAAATGTTCTCTGATTATGTAACGTGCATGAAACTGATGTTCAGTTAGATAATTTCTATTTTTTCTGTCAGTTTTTACCGTGCTCATCTGTCCTGTATTTACTGTACATGTCACACATCTTTCACGGCATCATAAATGCGCTTTAGTTTCTGCTGAAGGTGCATTGCTATATTTTGCTGTTCTGCTCAAAAGCCAAACGTGATGCCATCCGAGGTTTGATCTCTACGTCTTCCACACTAACGGATCAAAGTAATCCAATTATGAAAATATGCATATTTTTCCCTCTCTTTTTTCCCCTCTTTATCTTAAAGGGATAGTTCACCCCAAAATGTAAACTCTGTCAGTAATTACTCTCCCTCATGTTGTTCAACCCCGTAAGACTTTCGTTCATCTTCAGAACACAAATTAAGATATTTGTGATTAAATCTGAGAGCTGGATCACTCCTCCATAGGCTTCTTAAGGGATCGAAACTGGCCGGCCCAAAAGTTATGAAAGACATTGTTAAAATAGTCCGAGTGACTACAGCGGCTCAACCTTAAGTTTATCAAGCGACGAGAATACTTTCTGTGCGCTAAAAACAACAAAAATAATGACTTTATTCAACTATTCATTTTCTTCTCTGTTGGCCTCGAGATTTCACGTAGTGAAACTTTTTTGAATCAATCAAAACTAACTTTAGCTGGAAAATAACATTATTCAAGAGCCGCTATAAAACCAAACCAATCTCTGTTACCTTAAATCAGGGGTGGGGAACCTTTTTCCTATCAAGGGCCATTTACAATTTTTTAACATTCTTTAAGGGCCATTGTAATGAGCTTCAGTGTTTGGAAGGAAGAAGAGAGGTTCGGCGTGACTGGGACTCGTACGTTTTATTCAGAGGTTGGTAAAAAAAGAGGTGGGTAAACTATAAATTCTGGTGGACCACGACATGGTCACCCGGTAAGGTGGGCCACTGCCTACCGGTGTATGTGTATCCTGATGACATTGCTATAGGCAGGGCTCGACATTAAGCCTTTCATACGCTTGTCAAAAAAGTTTCTCGTCCGAATTTTTTTTTTTTTTTTGTTGTTAATTTATTCTGAAACAATATTCTCATCAGTGTTCAATTAGCTTTGATATTTAAATCGGCATATTGTAATATTTGCACCTTTAAAGGGCATCCCCTCCCCTAATATTATTAAATGTATGCTTCATCTTTCATTTTAAATTCCTAAATTTGATCAATAAATTAAATTATTTCGAATAATAAGACACTATAGGGCTGATCAAATTAAATCATTTACACTGAAAAATTACAATTGCATAAAATAATGTCATGAAATAGATTTAAATTTACAAATTAGAAACGATTAGAAAGAATGATCTACTTTTAAACATAACACAAACCGCCAGGTGGTGGCGGCAGGCGACCGTCTTAATGAGTGAGTCATTGATTCATTCATGATTCAAACGATTTGTCCAAACGGCTGATTCATTCAAGATTGAGACAGATGTTTATGAATGGGTCATTGAATCTTTGACTCAATCGATTCGTTCAAAACGCTGAATCATTCAGTAATGAAAACAGTGAGTGTTCCTGTGAGATGCCCCGTGGTTCTGCTGTGATTTTTGTTTGGAACTATTTTCGCTGGTGAAACAGAACAAAAACAGCCAATATTGCATCCAAAATGTAAGTGACTTAATTTTAACTGTTTTGAACTGTTGTTGGAAATTAATGTCACATTTTCAATCGTGATGGTGTTCAGGAAAAATAATTGAGGTTGCTTAACATATGTTAAAAATATAAAAACTCCACATTTAGATTTTTTATAGGCAGTATGTTGTTAACTGAGTGTGTGTGTGCGCTCATGTGTGTAGATTTCTGCTCGAGAGGCTGCGCGAGCGTCAACAGCGCAACCTTACCGTCAGTAATAGTCAACAACACTGACAGTAATGCAGCGCAATATGAAGAGTTCGTCTTAGGTTTAACAACCTATGAAACTAATAATTAACAATATGAAACTAAAACGACATAAGCTTAATTTATAGCTATTTAGAGGTGGATAAAGGAACAAAAACCTGGAACCGGCAAACGTTTAAACCACTTTAATACATTAATACGCAAATGACAAAACGAAAGTAAAAGCAGTAGCTCCTCGTGGACGACGACCACACACACATAAAGTAAAGTCCATGCCTGGTCCTCCGCTGTCTTCGTTCCGATCCTTTTACGCGCCCCGAAGCTGATCAGTGAGAAACTTGAAACCGGTGCGGGGCGCGGTGAGAAACTTGAAACCGGTGCGGCGCGCGCGCCCCCGAAGCTCATCCGTGAGAAACTGAAACCGGTGCGCAGGTGACTCGCGCTACTGGCCTCGCCCTGCTTGCCGTTTTGCCTATTTTGTGTTTTCTGTCACAGGAAAAGTAATGGCTGAGATTTTTGGTTCTGAGGTTTTTTTTTTTTTTTGGGAGGATTTGACTCGCGGGCCGCATCAAACTGTTTTGCGGGCCGGTTACGGCCCGGGGGCCGGACGTTCCCCACCCCTGCCTTAAATTATAAGTTTGTCTCTGTAAAGCTGCTTTGAAACAATCTACATTGTTAAAAGCGCTATATAAATGAGGATGACTTGACTTGACAATGCATTTCAAGGTACACATTTTTACATTCTTTTTTTTTTTGTGAATATATTTTTATTTTATTTTACAATACATGTACAATACAGGATTTTCATAAAAAGAGAGAAAACACACCCTCCCTACCCCAACAAGAGAGCCATAAAGGTATATTCAAACCCATTAAAAAACAAAACAAAACCACATTATTAGTATTACTCAAGAGTCATTCCATTCTGTTCTAGAAAATGAAGGAAGGAGTCCCAGATCCTGTAAAATATGTGCGTTTTTTGTTTGATTGAGTAAGTCAGTCTTTCCATTGCTATACAAGAAGACAGTTATTTGATCCAGAGTGATAAAGACGGACAACAAGTACTTTTCCAGTGTATGGCAATCAGGCGTTTCGCTTGCAATAAACACAGATTTATAAGCTTCTGTTCATGCATTTTCAAAGATAAGGCCGGTGGAAGTAGACCAAGAATACAGATTTTGGGGCAAACAGGGATTTCTTTAGCAATGATTTTAGATAATACACCGATTACTTCTTTCCAAAAGGATTGTAAGTGCTCACATTGCCAGATGCAATGAAATAATGTTCCTTTATGAGTTGTACATTTTCTACAGATATCTGGGATCTATTCAACTTTTCATGTGTTATGTATGTTCTCATTATCCAATTATATTGGATCACTTTAAAACGAGTGTTGATCGATAATGTTTGTTCTTGGACACAAGATTTTTCCCATTCATTTTCTGTAACATCCATTTGGAGATCATCAATCCAAGTCTTTTATGATTTGTTGAGTCTTTAGAAGCATTAACAAATTGTCTGTATATCATAGAGATTTTACCTTTTATCATTGGGATTTTTAACTGCCTAAACTACTTAAGGGAGGACACTGATATGAATGAGTCTTAGATCGTATGAAATTACGGATCTGGAGACACTTACAAAAGTGAGACTGGGGGATTTTGTGTCTTTCCCTTAAGATTTCAAAGGACATCATTGTATTCTCTGCATACAGACATTTTTACATTCTTATCAGTTCTTGCTTTCCCTGAATCGAACCCATGACCTTGGCGTTGCAAGCACGAACGCTCTACTGTTTAATCTACAGGAAAGCTCTTATCAGTGTGTGCTTCCGATTCTACGTCGAAACAAATAGTTCATCAACGCTTTCCCCCGAAATAATGAGCGTGTGAATGTGCTGAGGACGCGAGCGAGCGCTTGCTGAAAACTTTCTGTCTCTTCATTCAGATTCCTCTGTTTTCCTCACACACAGGTTTTTGGAAAAGTCTCTGCTCAGCGCCGAAGTGAAGGATGGAGAGATTCTTCCTCCGACCATCCAGAAGCTGATGAAAGGATACAACAAATACCTCCGGCCTTTCTTTGACAGTAAGGACGTAATGAATGTTTAATGTGTATGTGTAGGCGCCTCACTCCCTCATGCTCCTTTGAAAACAGATTGATTGATGCTCCATTATATATTACATATTCAAATGTGAATTATAAATGTGATTAAGCCACAGCATCATCAGTCAGAAAGACACTTAGGGCAAGTGTCGTTACACATGCATAACAACATGCATTAGCTAACCCTCTCAGCCGTAGTTGACCCGACAGTAGAAGAAGACTGTTCATTTTACTTATTGTTGGCCAGAGGAGAACTGAGCGACTGAGTGATTTCTCACAAGTCGCCTTTTTTCACCTTTGTTGCCTTTGGCTTTTGGCTTGCTTAGTTGGGGACATTAAATTTAACATTAAATTTAGTATTCGACAATATTATTGATCTCCTGCATTTACACCATTATATTAGAACTGAGCTGGATGATGACATCACGGTTTTCTCCAGAAGCGGCTTTATATATAAATGAACTAAATTAATATATTTTTTACAACAAAAATGAACCATCACTGAACTTACTTAAGCTGGACTGTGATGATATTTTCTTCTGGAAACACACTGTGTTGCATTATTTTCCTGTTATCTCTGTAAAGCTGCTTTGAAACACTCTGTGTTGTAAAAAGCGCTGTGTAAATAAAGCTGACTCGACTTCAAGTAATGAAAATAAAACCGAGACCCTCCAGAGGTCGAGACTAGTGACTCAATCCAGCACACACACGTGTTTCTCCTCGTCTCCTGTTGTAAATTATTGATGTTTGTCTGTTGTTTCTCCAGCCGTCTGGTCTCTTTCTTCACTCTCTGCTCCACCAGTGACGAAGAAGCTCTTTTAAAAATGTAGCTTGTCAACTTATAACTTAGTCGCCATGAAACATGTGTATATGTTTCTCTATTGTGTCGTGTATCCGAGTGAAACGCTTCTGGAACCAGAACAAATGTGGGCGGGGTTCGATTTTGTTTGTGGGAATTGATTGGATGGTTGTGGTTTGCTATTGGTGGATCTCATGTGAGTGACAGGTTAGCCCCGCCCACATCATCAGAGAAGAGAAGAGATGCTGCAAGAGGGACTTATTCTGATTCAAGATTACCAGTAGGGCTGGGTAAAAAATATCGATTTCTCGATTTTAATCGATTCTCATTTTTACGAACCGATATCGATTCTTAAATCTCAAGAATCGATTAGTCATCCTGTTTTCAGTTGACGAATGAATGGAACATTGTAGCGCTCATCCCATCCAATAAATCGCAATAATCTTTGTGCTTTGTTACTATTGATATGAAACAAAGTTTCAGATTTCAAATAACGTCCATTTTCTTACGAAATTGAATAACATAAACCGTTTTGGCGCTGTGGCGTGAGATCGCTCTGGCTCAGCTCAAGAGAAGCACATGATCTCCTCTTCTGCCTTAATAATACCAGTTACAGCGCGAAATAAACATCAATGAGCGTCTGAAAGTGTGTTAAAAGATAGAGTACAACTTATCGAAATCCGTATCATGTCACATGGAATCGCTCAATCAGTTTCAACCGTGGAAAGACGTCAGTAAAACAGCGTCATGTAACGTCACATTTACCTCAGAAAAACCATATGTGACCATAAACTCGTTAGTCAGCTAGAAATATTAACTCTAGAGGAGCATTTTGCTAAATACTGTATATGCACCATATTACATATTCATTATATTTTTTAACGTTCTTCAATATTTAATGCATGTTTGAATAAATCTGGCAAGTTTTTATGACAGCCACCATTTAAATGTTTATATTTCATATAACTTTATTATTATAAAAATAAATAAAAGTGTAATTTTGTATAAGATTTTGTATAGCTACAAATCAGTTAATTTTTACCTTCAATATTATAAGTAGGCTAATGAAGCCCAGTAAGGCTAACTCCCATAGTTTGCAGCATTAGTTAGGAGATTTGTTTTCCTTGAGAAAATTTGCCATGTATTGGACCTGATATCCAAAATAATCAATATTGCATCGAATCGAAATCGAATCGAATTGCAAGCTTGTGAATCGAAATCGAATCGAATTGTGAAATTTGTGTCAATACCCAGCCCTAATTACCAGGAACATGAATTTAAAACAATGTGCTTTAAAGTCTTTAAAAAGTAAATAATTGTATCCCTTAAAACTCATCTTTGACCAAAATGACACATTTAAGCATTTTTTCCTTCAAAAAATTTTATTCATGCCTTAAAATATCTTGAATGTAACCCGACACCCTTGCCTCATTTAGTATGCGCGGTTCTATGAATATGCAAATGAGCCCCGCCTCCACTCACTCACTCACTCAGAGATCCACTGGTTGACGATCACACGTTGATCTGATTGGTTACAAGGTCATTTGTGACGTCAGAAACACCAGCGATTTCAAGCCGTGTTTTTGAGACTGTCTTTGGTTCACTGCAGTTTTAAGGAGGAAATACTCAGCAATGCTGTCGACTCAGTGGCGGTTCTACATTGAATTACACCCTGGGCGTGACCCCCTTCGAGCGCCCCCCCCCCCCCCCCCAAAAAAAACAAAAAAACAACCCAACAATAAAATCACATACCGTTCATTTGAAAAACACAGTTAATAGAATCAAGTTATTTTGCTAGATTAATCTAACTTTCAGAGAGGAACTATTAGCTCATTGGTTACTGCCTTGAATTCTATGCATGGAGCACTTTTAGTTATGACTTGTTAAACTATACTTTGTCACTAAATAGAGTTTTTAAAAGTGTAAGGGTCCGAGAGATATTTATGTAGTAACACAATACTTATCACTTAAATAATTTCTAACAGCTCTCATATTAACAACTATCCAAACTGTTTTAGACCTAAAATAGCTTTTGTAGGCCTATGTCACTCTTAAATGTCAGAGAAAAGGACAGAATCAGAGATTATTTTTAATAGAAAATTGTACTTTGCATAGGCTACTGTAAAAACACGTAATTATATTTGATCATTATGAAAATGATTTCCATTTCATGAATATAGTGACCAAAATGATCACGGTTATACACAGAATCTTGTTCAAAAAGCCCAATACACAATGAAATCAATTTACCAAGTTAATAACATTAAAGATGATGGCCAAATTTTAAAGGAGTGTCTTTAATGTTATCTAACATGCACACGTTCAAATAAACTTTTGACAAAAAGGTTTTATAAAAAGATAAACCTCACATATTTCAGCATTTAAATCATCTTTATAAAAAGAATGAGTCAATAAAGATACATTCCTGACATTTATAATGCACAGCTTATCTTTTATTATTAATAGTAAAATTCGGTCCGATTTTCCCATGGCTGTCGTTGCTATACAACCATGCACTGCGCTCTCTACAACGACAAAGAAGTTTTAGTAGCTAATGTATTTCCACCACAGAAAAACGCTTGCTGTAGCTCTGCTAAAAGATTTATTTACGGAGAAGAGAAAAACACCCGCGTGTTCGGGTGCACGTGCACTCCCATATTGAAAAGTTTACAATTTTTCATCTGGCTGCTCCTGGAAAAAATGAGCGCGTCGCTTCAATAATGAGCGCGCTTCCCGTGCGCCTACATTTGAAATAACGACCTCGAGCGCGCAAAAGACGCGATACGTGAACGCTTGGTGAGCTCCTCCAATCAGGAGACCCCCTTGACATCGCTTCTGTGCATGGCACCTTCTCAGCAAGCAGGGGCGCCATTGCCAATAATTGAATTGAAATGATAAAAAATAGAAAACCTTCGCGGCACAGAGGATTTTTTTTTTAACTGCTTGTGCCGCCCCCCATGTGACATGATGAAATGCCGCCCCGGGCGACCGCCCGGTTCGCCCGTGCCTAAAACCGCTACTGTGTCGACTTATGAACTTACACATGGTTTTTCTTAAAGCAGATTAAAAACACCATATATACACATAAACAACATTAAACGCTGGAGTTTCACCACTGGGAGACTTTAAGCCATTTAGGAGATAACTATAAGCAACTAACAAAAGTATTCCGGTAAACTAGATCGTGGCATGGAAATACATGAACTGGTAAAGTGTAAAACTTGATTAAAGGGTGAGACACAACTCCTGTAAACTAGGCGAATAATTAGCATCTTGCACTTATATTATAATGTATTTCTCACAGCTGCTCGTCTCGGAATAAATTGTGCCGTTCTGTGTGTTTTTGCTGGTGAATCCAAAGGGACAAATACTTCAATAACAGTGAAACTCATTGCATAGGTTCAGTGGTAAACAGCTGCTGCTTGTATTCAGAATTGAATTATCTCAAACGTTCAAACCGAGTGTAAAACCAGCCGGAGAAAGAGCGCAAGTGTAAAAAAAAAGAAAGAAAAAAGTGAAAGGAAAACAGAGCATTTTTGATTATTGCCTCAGCAAATATTCAAAATCTTGTCGTGTTCCGATGCAAACATTGCTTTTTTTGTTAATCTGTCCCCAAAACTGTTAATTTAAATAATCTACATGGCTCTGACTCACTGTTGAGCTGATGCAAAGACTTTAGAAGAATAAAACAAATTTGCTTTCCACATGATCCGCTTTAATGAGCCGAGAGTTTCGCTCCCAGGGTTTCCATCTTTAACAGCGATGCTCAGAATGATTATGCGTTATTGAAATGCACATGATATTTACATGCCTTCTCTGTGTTTAGATGGGCCTGTCACGGTGGGCATGAGTTTAGACATCGCCAGCATTGACACGATCTCAGAGATCAACATGGTGAGAGGAACAGTGCGACCTCACACACACATCTGGGGTTTAATATGATATTTTATACAGCAGTTTACATGAACTTGCATATTCTTGTGTGCTGGTTAGTGAGTATTTTTTATTTATTTATTTATTGCTCATACTTGAGGTTAAGGGTTTGTTCAAATTCTAATAAACTTTTGTCTAATCCCACACATTATTATTATTATTATTATTAACAACAGTCATTTAAAAAATAATAATAACAATTATATTACTAATAATAATGAATAATGGACAATAAATAATGATTTAAAAAACTAATTATTAAAAAAAAAAAATTAATCCACAATAATAATGAATACAAAATGATTATTAAAATGATTATTACTATTATTTGTTTATTATTAAATGTAACAAAAATAATAATAATACAATTTTTAAACATTTATTAATAAATAATATTTACAAATTATTTATATTTATAATAATTATTATAGTTTTTTATTTTCAAATGACATCAGTAATAAATAATAAAATAAATAACAATATTTATTTGTATTATTAGTAGTAGTATTATTCGTTTAATATAATTAATAACAATTCAACTTTATTATTATTATTATTGATATTTTAATTTCCAAATTACAACAATGAAAAATAAATATTTATTTATTATTACTATTATCTGTTTATTATTAAATATAATAATACTAATAATAATTCTAAATGATATTTAAACTATTATTATTATTAAAATTACAGAAGAATAGTGCTACTAATAATGAAGTATTAAAAATAAATGATAATATTTACAAATTATGTATTATTATTATTGTTTTTTAATGGCATAATATTTAATGACAAAAAATATTATTAGTATTATTATTTGTTTAATAAAAATATAGCATTTATCAACATTTATTGTTATTATTACTTAAAATTAAGGTGTTTGTTCAAAATCTTTACCTCAAGTATTAAACTTTTGATCCCACACAGTTTCTAATTGGCTGTTCATAAAATGTTTGTATTGTTTGCTAAATCTCAGGACGCTCTGCTGTTATAATATATTATTTATAATAATACTAATGATAATTCAAAATAATATTTAGACTATTATTATTAAAATTACAGAAGAATAATGCTACTAGTAATTAATTATTAAAAATAAATTATAATATTTACAAATTATGTATTATTATTATTATTTTTTTTAATGGCATAATATTTAATGACAATTTAAAAAAAATGTTTTTATTAGTATTATTATTTTGTTAATAATAATTCGGTGTTTGATTGCAGGATTACACGGCCACCATCTTCCTGCGGCAGCGCTGGACGGACGAGAGGCTGGTGTTCGAAGGCAATAAGAGTCTGAGTCTCGACGGACGTCTGGTGGAGCTGCTGTGGGTCCCGGACACCTTCATCGTGGACTCCAAGAAGTCCTTCCTCCACGACATTACAGTGGAGAACCGACTGATCCGGATCTTCCCCAACGGAACGGTTCTCTATGCCCTCCGGTGAGGGTTTTATCTGCTCTAGTGTTGTCAAAAGTACCGACAGAGAATGTCTAATATGGGGAGAACTTCCACTCTCAGTAAACTTCCGGCTCCTGAACTGGTTGCAGTTCCACTCTGGCTCCACATGGGGGCCCTCACAGGACGAGTGCAGAATGAATGGAGGTCTATGGAGATATACCCCTCAAAATCCACTTTTCTCAGGATATAATTTTTTGTCTAGTAATTTGAATGTTGTATTCGAAACGAGATGCAAAGAAATGACACGTTGTTGAGTGTTACATTTTTTAGAGTCACTTATTTGCTTTAAAAAGTCTTTTAAAATGTCAATGACGTCACACACATCGTACGACCAGAGATACTGCTTTACGGCAATCCTTAAGTCACTTTGGTGCTTTCGCGCTCTGCACTTTCCTTTCTCTCGAGACAGCTGACACAGGTAACACAGCTGACACAGGTAACACAGGTAACACAGCTGACACAGGTAACACAGCTGACATAGGTAACACAGCTGACACAGGTAACACAGCTGACACAGGTAACACAGGTAACGCAGCTGACACAGGTAACACAGCTGACACAGGTAACACGGGTAACACAGCTGACACAGGTAACACAGCTGACAAAGGTAACACAGCTGACACAGGTTACACAGCTGACACAGGTAACACAGCTGACACAGGTAACACAGCTGACACAGGTAACACAGCTGACAAAGGTAACACAGCTGACACAGGTTACACAGCTGACACAGGTAACACAGCTGACACAGGTAACACAGCTGACACAGGTAACACAGCTGACACAGGTTACACAGCTGACACAGGTAACACAGCTGACACAGGTAACACAGCTGACACAGGTAACAGCGGACACAGGTAACAGCTGACACAGGTAACACAGCTAACACAGGTAACACAGCTGACACAGGTAACAGCTGAAACAGGTAACACAGCTGACACAGGTAACACAGCTGACACAGGTAACAGGTAACAGCTGACACAGGTAACACAGCTGACACAGGTAACACAGCTGACACGGGTAACAGCTGACACAGGTAACACAGGTGACACAGCTGACACAGGTAACACAGCTGACACAGGTAACACAGCTGACACAGGTAACAGCTGACACAGGTAACACAGCTGACACAGGTAACAGCTGACACAGGGAACAGCTGACACAGGTAACACAGCTGACAAAGGTAACAGCTGACACAGGTGACACAGGTAACAGCTGACACAGGTAACAGCTCACACAGGTAACACAGCTGACAAAGGTAACAGCTGACACAGGTAACACAGCTGACACAGGTAACAGCTGACACAGGTAACACAGCTGACAAAGGTAACAGCTGACACAGGTAACACAGCTGACACAGGTAACAGCTGACACAGGTAACACAGCTGACACAGGTAACACAGCTGACACAGGTAACACAGCTGACACAGGTAACAGGTAACACAGCTGACACAGGTAACAGCTGAAACAGGTAACACAGCTGACACAGGTAACACAGCTGACACAGGTAACAGGTAACAGCTGACACAGGTAACACAGCTGACACCGGTAACACAGCTGACACGGGTAAAAGCTGACACAGGTAACACAGCTGACACAGGTAACACAGCTGACACAGGTAACAGAGCTGACACAGGTAACAGCTGACACAGGTAACACAGCTGACACAGGTAACACAGCTGACACAGGTAACACAGCTGACACGGGTAACAGCTGACACAGGTAACACAGCTGACACAGGTAACACAGCTGACACAGGTAACACAGCTGACACAGGTAACAGGTAACACAGCTGACACAGGTAACAGCTGAAACAGGTAACACAGCTGACACAGGTAACACAGCTGACACAGGTAACAGCTGACACAGGTAACACAGCTGACACCGGTAACACAGCTGACACGGGTAAAAGCTGACACAGGTAACACAGCTGACACAGGTAACACAGCTGACACAGGTAACAGAGCTGACACAGGTAACAGCTGACACAGGTAACACAGCTGACACAGGTAACAGCTGACACAGGTAACACAGCTGACACAGGTAACACAGCTGACACAGGTAACACAGCTGACACGGGTAACAGCTGACACAGGTAACACAGCTGACACAGGTAACAGCTGACACAGGTAACACAGCTGACAAAGGTAACACAGCTGACACAGGTAACACAGCTGACACAGGTAACACAGCTGACACGGGTAACAGCTGACACAGGTAACAGCTGACACAGGTAACAGCTGACACAGGTAACACAGGTAACACAGCTGACAAAGGTAACACAGCTGACACAGGTAACACAGCTGACACAGGTAACAGCTGACACAGGTAACACAGCTGACAAAGGTAACAGCTGACACAGGTAACACAGCTGACACAGGTAACAGCTGACACAGGTAACAGCTGACACAGGTAACACAGCTGACACAGGTAACACAGCTGACACAGGTAACACAGCTGACAAAGGTAACAGCTGACACAGGTAACAGCTGACACAGGTAACACAGCTGACACAGGTAACACAGCTGACACGGGTAACAGCTGACACAGGTAACACAGGTGACACAGCTGACACAGGTAACACAGCTGACACAGGTAACACAGCTGACACAGGTAACAGCTGACACAGGTAACACAGCTGACACAGGTAACAGCTGACACAGGGAACAGCTGACACAGGTAACACAGCTGACAAAGGTAACAGCTGACACAGGTGACACAGGTAACAGCTGACACAGGTAACAGCTCACACAGGTAACACAGCTGACAAAGGTAACAGCTGACACAGGTAACACAGCTGACACAGGTAACAGCTGACACAGGTAACAGCTGACACAGGTAACACAGCTGACACAGGTAACAGCTGACACAGGTAACACAGCTGACACAGGTAACACAGCTGACACAGGTAACACAGCTGACACAGGTAACACAGCTGACACAGGTAACAGCTGAAACAGGTAACACAGCTGACACAGCTGACACAGGTAACAGCTGACACAGGTAACACAGCTGACACGGGTAAAAGCTGACACAGGTAACACAGCTGACACAGGTAACACAGCTGACACAGGTAACAGAGCTGACACAGGTAACAGCTGACACAGGTAACACAGCTGACACAGGTAACAGCTGACACAGGTAACACAGCTGACACAGGTAACACAGCTGACACGGGTAACAGCTGACACAGGTAACACAGCTGACACAGGTAACACAGCTGACACAGGTAACAGCTGACACAGGTAACACAGCTGACACAGGTAACAGCTGACACAGGTAACACAGCTGACAAAGGTAACACAGCTGACACAGGTAACACAGCTGACACAGGTAACAGCTGACACAGGTAACACAGCTGACAAAGGTAACAGCTGACACAGGTAACACAGCTGACACAGGTAACAGCTGACACAGGTAACAGCTGACACAGGTAACACAGCTGACACAGGTAACAGCTGACACAGGTAACACAGCTGACACAGGTAAACACACGTGCTAGAAGAGTTAAGTCCGCCTTAACATTCTGGTCCCGCTTCGGATGCCACGATGCCATCAAGTGGTGTCTCTGGTCATAATCAGTCCTTCACTGACCAACCAGCGTTCATTAGCAGAATGCTAGCGTGTTATGGGCAACAACAACTCAACCTGTAAGAAATTGAAAGGACATAAGTACTCGTTCATTCAACTTTCGACCTATAACCCATGTTGAACTTGCAAAACCTACAATCAAATCTGAGATTTCTCAGCGGCAATCGGCTGAAAGAGACAAATTTAGCCGTCTAGCTCCATAGACTCCCATTCACTCACGCACTCATGGGCGATCGCCCCCAGTGGAACTCGGTGGAACTACAACCACAATTCGGTACAATAGGACTTAATAGGGAGTGGCCAGGCTCTCCGTAGACGGGCTCTGGTACCGACTTCGGTACCAAGTCGATACTGACATTTTAAAAATGTGAGGCTTTGAGCGCTGTTGAGCGGAATCGTAAACACCTCTGATTGGCCGTTGTGTTCATGAGCTCATCGGATATGTCTGTGATTGGCTACAAGGATCAGCGCTTCAAAAACATGTTGCAAATATCCATCAATGGCGCTCTTCAGCGAGTGCTTGCACAGATACACACGCGAGCATTTGAAACCAGGCGTTATCAGCGGATCGGTCCTGCTTGTGCTGTCAAACGCTCCTGTGCGGTGATCATTGTAGCCAATCACAGACGTATCCGATGAGCGCGTGAACACAACAGCCAATCAGAGGTGTTTATGATTCCGCTCAAAGCCTCACATTTTTAAAATTTCATTATCGACTCGGTACCGAAGTCGGTACTTTTGACAACGTTAGTCTGCTCTGTAGCACAAATATATCGCTGTGAATCCGCTTGAGGTGACTTGATTAGGGATGCACGATATATCGGCCACCATATCGGTATCGGCCGATATATGATAATTTTTATTGTTATCGTTATCGGCCCCGATAAGAAAATTTGGCCGATATGTTAAAGCCGATAAATAATGTATTATTTCCTTCAGATGCGCACTGTTCAACATGATGGTTTTAAATTGCTTGATATATGATTGTAGTCACTTCAAAAAAAGAAAATACAGTTCAGTGCAACAAGTCTGTCATATCGGCTACATACAATTATAATGAGAATGTTAAAATTGTGTGTTTGGGACATGACTTTTAATGGGGAGATTTTTGTTTTTGTTTAATCAGGCTCTCAAAAATTACATAAAAATTTGGATTTAGATTTATCTGCCAATATATCGGTTATCGGCTTTCAAATATAAAGAATTATCGGTATCGGCCCAAAAAGGTTCATATCTGTGGATCCCTAGTCTTGATATTATGCAATGTGCTTAAATGTCTTGGTTTAAAGGAGTAGTTCACTTCAGAATTAAAATTCCCTGATAATATACGCTCCCACACATCATCCGAGATGTTCATGTCTTTCTTTCTTCAGTCGAAAACACTTTTTTTGAGGAAAACGTTCCAGGATGTTTCTCCATATAGTGACTTCAATGGTCCAACGGGTCGAAGGTCCAGATGTGAGTTTCAGTGCAGCTTCAAAGTCTCGACACGATCCAGCCGAGGAATAAGAGTCTTATATAGACAAACATTTTATTAAAAAAATAAACATTTATATACTTTCTAACCCCTAATGCTTGTCTTGCACTAGCTGTGATGCGACACACATTACATAATCACGTTGAAACGTCACGCATGTTCCGGTTCAGAAATGTAGGACGAAAAACTCTGTCTCATTTTCTCCTCCAACTTCAAAATCGTGCGACATCGTTGTTTTACCTTTTATTTATTTTTGTAAATGCCGTTTGACTCAGTCTTTGCACGTTCGCTTTGTAAACACTGGGTCTGTTCTTACACCTACGTCACGCTTGACCTTTCAACCTGATTACGTAATGTGTGTCGCATCACAGCCAGAGCAAGACCAGCATTAGTGCTTAAAAGTATATAAATGTTTATTTTTGTTATTAAATGGCCGCTGGTTTGTCTAGATCAGACTCTTATTCCTCGGCTGGATCGTGTCGAGACTTTGAAGCTGCACTGAAACTCACATCTGGACCTTCGACCCGTTGGACCATTGAAGTCACTATATGGAGAAACATCCTGGAGTGTTTTCCTCAAAAAACATAATTTATTTTCCACTGAAGAAAGAAACACATGAACATCATGAATGACGTGGAGGAGAGTAAATTATCAGGAAATTTTAATTCTGAAGTGAACTACTCATTTAAGGATGTTTGGACTACGATAAGTATGATGTTATGCATTTAAATATCAGATATTTATGAATAATAATCTGAACCGTGTGTTTTGTGTAGGATCACCACCACTGTGGCCTGTAACATGGATCTGACCAAATATCCCATGGACAAACAGACGTGCACCTTACAACTGGAGAGCTGTAAGAAAACATGCATTCTCCATCTGTTACTGAGTGGCTCTGGGAACAACAGGGTTCGACACGGGGCTTGAAGTGCTTGAATTTGACTTTTTTAAATTTAAGTCCTGGAAAATCCTTGAAACAGTCGTTTTTATGAAAAGGTACTCAAAAGCTCTTAAATTATTGAAAGATTATATGTGAAATTAGTCTTTAATTTTATCGATAAAGCAATCTTTTCACTCAAAATTATATCTATCTCATATGGGCTGCAGCTTTAGAGGCATTTCGCATGGCTTTGAGTGTGGTATTGCTCATAAATATCCATGTATATGACAGTCCTTCCAGAAAAACGCTGAAATATGCGGGATATTTATGCAATTTTATGCGATGAAATTGCGGGAACTTGCAAAAACTGTGGTTTGATGAAAAAGAGGAAAAAAAGTGATTCCCCCAACACCCTGTTCTCACTAGGCTACTACCTTAATGTAAAGAGTCATTTCTTATTACTTCCTATGATAAGCAAGCATACTACATCACAGAAAGTGCTGGAATATTTAATTCCTGTTTTATTTCAGACCTTAATAAAAACATCAAACGTACAAAACATTGAGTCAAACAAGTTCTGTAGCTTTACAAAAGGAATATGCTACAACTTCTGTAAAAATGAATAAATACAATTGTAAAAAATAAAGTGTGCTCCTGTTTTACAGCTTTTCGATGATGTTCACGTCGTGCAATTACGTCACTTCATAACGTTCCCATGGCAACAGGGGGAAACGGCTGCTCTTGTGTGAAGAAAACTTTTTTGCAACGAAAATGCGAGGATTATGAAATCATGCAAGCCCCGCATATTTTGCACGGGAATCGGCAATTTATGCGGCGAAAGTGCGGCGTATTTGAAAAGATGCCCCCGCATAAATACGCGGACTTTGGCTGATTATGCACTAAATCAGGGGTCTCCAACCTTTTTTCATTTGAGAGCTACTTTTTAAAAATGAAAGTGGCCGAGAGCTACTCATGTAATACAATACTTAAATCTCTTAAATAATGTCTCATAACTCTCATATTAACAGCTATCCAAACTGTTTTAGACCTAAACGAGTTTTTGTAGGCCTAAATATGTCACCCTTAAATGTCAGAGAAAAAAACAGAATCAGAGATTATTTTTTTATAGAAAATTGTACTTTTCATATTATACTGTAAACACATAATTATAGTTGATCATAGTTGATCATAACTAGAGATGAAATGGCATGAAAATTTCATTTCATGATTATAGTGACCAAAATGATCACGGTCCTGTTCAAAAATTATACTAAAAATCAATTCACCAAGTTTTATGTCGAAAACCAGCAAATAACAAAAAAATAGCATCAATATGCACTTTATGTTTACATAAACATTAAAATAATAACATTATAATGATGGTCAGATTTTAAAGGAGTGTCTTGCAACATGTTATCTACTAACATGTACAAGTTCAAATAAAGTTTTGACAAAAAAGGTTTTATAAAAAGATAAACCTCACATATTTCGGCCTTTAAATCATTTTTATAAAAAGATAAATTACTGACATTTACAATGCACATTAGCTTATCTTTTATTATTAATAGTAAAATTCGGTCCGATTTTCCCGTGGCGTCTGTCGTTGCTAAGCAACCGTGCACTGCGCTCTCCACAACGACAAAGAAGTTTTAGTAGCTAATGGATTTCCACCACGAGAAACGCTTGCTGTAGCTCTGCTATAAGATTTATTTACGGAGAAGAGAAAAACACCCGTAGTGTTTGGGTGCACCCCCATTCTTCATGTTGACCGAGCTTTCAATGTTGTTACGGAAAGGGTGAAGCTGATGGTTGGTTCTTGTCACATGACCTGTGGTGCGCTTCTGAAAAGTTTCTGAGATTCACTGAGAACATTCAGAGATTTTTTTCTTGCTGCGCCTGGAAAAAATGAGCGCGTCGCTTCAATTATGAGCGCGCTTGCCCAAGCGCCTACATTTGAAATAACGAACTTGAGCACACAAAAGACGCGATATGTGAACGGCCCCTTGGCGAGCTACCTCCAATCAGGCCACGAGCTACTGGTAGCTCGCGAGCGACGTGTTGGAGACCCCTGCACTAAATCATGCGATCGCATAATCGCGTTTTTCTGGAGGGACTGATATGATACAGCTATAATTTTTCAGGTCAATCATAGTCATGGGGGGTTTGAACAAGGGAATATCCTCTCAATGGTTACAGTTACGCCAGTCATTGCATCTGCTGCTCTTTATTTGTACTATTTTGTTTTATTGGTTTATTTTTGTTTATCTATTTACCTTTTTTAGAATTTAAAAAGATAATAAAGATATTGTTTGATAAGTGAGATCTCTGATTGAAGGCCTTGAAAACCAAAAAAGTAGTGCTTGAAAAGTCCTTGAAAGTCCTGGAATTTAATTTCACAGCGTCTGTGCGAACCCTGGAACAAGCATCTGTACTGCACAATGCTTCATATACATATTTTATAAGAACATGTTGGGGTCGCACAACTATAGAAGTCGCGTCCAAATATGTCTGTTTATTTTCCGTGCACTGAAGGTCATATTATAAAGGAATATAAACAGACAGAAGATGCACCTCAGAAGCGTTTGGCATGATGTGTGTGTGACAGCTACTAGATTTGGGTCAATTTTGTGGCGCATGAAACCTGATATGCTGTCGTTTGGGACCTAGAGCTGCTTTCTGTTCTTGCGGACTTTATCTTTCTCTTTATCGCTCCGCCCGACTGCCGTTCTCTGATCCTCTGGTTCTTCTTTAGCCGCCTGTCTCTCTTCCACATCTTGTTTATGTAAGAGCGCAGCGGGAGAAGAGTAGGAGGGTTAGAGGAGGTTCTGAAGTCTGTCCGGGTCTTTCTCTAATGACACGGCAGAAAGCTGCTAGCGTCCGCCCGATCTCAGGAAACATCTGGGTCGTATCACTCTCCACAAATCAAAAGATAAAACAAGGTTTCTTATGCATTAACTGAAGCCTAATTTCAAGACCATTAAGACATTTTTATTGTCATGACAATTTTGTCCCAAGTTCTAAAAGTCTTGGTTTTCTTGGGAATTATTTGCAAAACATTCTGTGCAGTTCTTGTGCAATTTTATGTGTATTTTTCATGAAAAGATTATTATTTAAGCACATTTTACACCAAATTCTAAGACCAGATTTTTTTTTGCAGACATTTTTCAGATTTTTTTGCTCGATCTTACATATGAACATAATGTGCAGTTCTTGTGCAATTTTAAGTGTATTTTTCATGAAAAGATAATTTAAGCACATTTTGCTCCAAATTATAAAAGACCAGATTTTTTTTTGTGCAGAAATTTTTCAGATTTCTTTGCACAATCTTACATATGAACATTGATGTGCAGATCTTGTGCAAGTTTGAGTTCATTTTCCATAAAAAGTTAATTTAAGCACATTTTGCTCCAAATTCTAAGACCAGATTTATTTTTTTGCAAAGATATTTTTTTGGCACAATCTTACACATGAACATGTTATGTGGAGTTATTATTCAATTTTTAGTGTATTTTTCATGAAAAGATTACTTGTGCACATTTTGAGAATTATTTGCACAGTCTTTCAAATAAACATTCAGTTTGCTTAAAGACAATCGCGTTTGCTCACTGATCACTCGAGTTACGTTGTGTGTGCTTATAAGAAAAAACACCCAGAAATGCCAGCATGATGTAAATACCATCACATGACACAGTTAAGTATGGAAGCTTGTTTCCGCCACTGAATTAAAAAAATATATATAATAATTGCGACTTTTTTTTCACAATTGCGAGATATGAAGTCAGAATTCTGAGAAATAAAGTCACAATTGTGAGGAAAAAAAGACAGAATTTTGACTTTTTATCTCGCAATTCTGACTTTATAACCCATAATTGCAAGTTTATATCTCGAAATTCTGACATCTTTTCTCAGAATTGTGAGATATAAACTCGCAATTGCGAGTTATCAGGCCAATATAAGGAAAAATAAAAAAATTACTTTTTTCCTCTCACAATAGTTTATATCTCACAATTCTGACTTTATAACACGCAATTGCGACTTATATCACGCAATTCTGACTTTATTTCTCGCAATTCTGACTTTATAACACGCAATTGCGACTATTTCACTCAATTCTGACTTTATATCTCGCAATTCTGACTTTAAAACACGCAATTGCAACTTTATATCAATCAGTTCTGACTTTATATCTCGCAATTCTGACTTTATAACACGCAATTGCGACTATTTCACTCAATTCTGACTTTATATCACGCAATTCTGACTTTATATCACGCAATTCTGACTTTATAACACGCAATTGCGACTTTATATCAATCAGTTCTGACTTTATATCTCGCAATTCTGACTTTATAACACGCAATTGCGACTATTTCACTCAATTCTGACTTTATATCACGCAATTCTGACTTTATATCTCGCAATTCTGACTTTAAAACACGCAATTGCAACTTTATATCAATCAATTCTGACTTTATATCTCGCAATTCTGACTTTATAACACGCAATTGCGACTTATATCACGCAATTCTGACTTTATATCTCGCAATTCTGACTTTAAAACACGCAATTGCAACTTTATATCAATCAATTCTGACTTTATATCTCGCAATACTGACTTTATAACACGCAATTGCAACTTTATATCAATCAATTCTGACTTTATATCTCGCAATTCTGACTTTATAATACGCAATTGCGACTTATATCACGCAATTCTGACTTTATATCTCGCAATTTTGACTTTATATCACTCAATTGCAACTTAATATCAATCAATTCTGACTTTATAACACGCAATTGCGACTTATATCACGCAATTCTGACTTTATATCTCGCAATTCTGACTTTATAACACGCAATTGCAACTTTATATCAATCAATTCTGACTTTATATCTCGCAATTCTGACTTTATAACACGCAATTGCGACTTTATTTCACGCAATTCTGACTTTAACACGCAATTGCAACTTTATATCAATCAATTCTGACTTATATCTCGCAATTCTGACTTTATAACACGCAATTGCGACTTAATTGCACTCAATTCTGACTTTATAACACGCAATTGCGACTTTATTTCACGCAATTCTGACTTTATATCACGCAATTCTGACTTAATAACACGCAATTGCAACTTTATATCAATCAATTCTGACTTATATCTCGCAATTCTGACTTTAACACGCAATTGCAACTTTATATCAATCAATTCTGACTTATATCTCGCAATTCTGACTTTATAACACGCAATTGCGACTATTTCACTCAATTCTGACTTTTTAACACGCAATTACAACTTTATATCAATCAATTATGACTATATCTCGCAATTCTGACTTTATAACACGCAATTGCGACTTTATTTCACGCAATTCTGACTGTATATCTCGCAATTCTGACTTTATATTTCGCAATTCTGACTTTATATTTCGCAATTGTGAGAAAAAAAGTCAGAATTGTGAGAGAAAAAGTCGCAATTACCTTTTTTATTTTTCATTCTGTGGCGGAAACAAGCTTCCAGCTTTCAGAAGGTTGAAGGAATTAATCTTAAACTTGACTTGTTTGAAAGCAAATGGCAAAAACAATAATTTTGAACATCAACATCATGTGACAAATGCCTGATGTGTCTAGTCCACCCATTCTTATGCATTCTTATGATTTTTATTTTTTGGAAATGTACAGTATTCAGCTTTGTGTCGACGTAGAGCTCGAAGGCATCTGAAGTTGAGGTTAAATATTTATTTAACGATGACAGGAACCGAGAGATTCTCCATCTTTGTGTCTGATGCTTAAAGTCTCGTCGTGTGGGAATCGCATGCCATGCAAAGTCTTTATTAAATCTTGGGTTACTGTACAGATATGTAATGTGAGTGTCACACAAACAGCAGTGATGTTGACAGTCTCTTCCTCCGTCATGTGCTGTTGCTGTCCTCAGGGAGTCACATGGGAAAACACACATTAATGAACATCACATGGCAAGAAAACCGATCTTACGGCTGCATATTATCTTATTACTGTGACACAGCGCCACCAAGAGGACACACACTGATATTACACACTGACACATGTGGACATTTATATTTGAAAAATCCGATAGTCACTTACACATCAATAAATGATATCTAATTATTAATAACTGAATATGTAAATAAATATGAATTAATGCATTCACACCTCTAGCCTGATTTTATGCTCAAATCATTTTTTTTTATATACTCTAAAATTAACCTGCACATATCAAACTCTCTTCTTGTTTATCATAACATCATAAGCAAATATCATCATATAATTTAATTTGGGAGGATATTTGATTTTTATTTGAAAGTTTGAAATCTTTGCTTTAGCATTAACATTTAAACTTCGGCTTTTACTGATCAAAGCAAGTGACACAACATGTGAAACCTGATGTACATTTCATTTATATTTAGAAATACCATTCAAAAGTGTTTTTCTTTAAAGAAAGTAATACTTTTATTCAACAAGGATGCTTTAAATTAATCAAAAAGTGAGAGTTAAGACATTAATAATGTTACAAAAGATCCATTTCAAATAAATGCTGTTCTTTTGAACTTTATATTCATCAAAGAATTCTGAAAAATAAAATGTATCACAGTTTTTACAAAAAATATTTCCTATTTTCAATGCTTAATGTTCATCAGATCCTCATATTAGAGTGATTTCTGAAGGATCATGTGACACTGAAGACTGGAGTAATGATGCTGAAAATTCAGTTTTGATCACAGGAATAAATTACACTTTACTGTATATTCACATAGAAAACAGCTGATTTACACTGGAATAATATTTCACTATCTTTGATTAAATAAATGCAGCTTTGACGAAAAAAATCTTACCGGCCATAAATATTTAAATGGATTTTCTATGTAATACTTATGATGCAATTCATAAATTATTGTAAATTGTGAAGATGAATATATGACGAGATGCATCTGATTTATTTCCCACGTATTTAAAGTGTGATTTTTACATCTGCTGTTCATAATCGTTTGTCCACAGGGGGTTATAATGTCAATGACGTGATGTTTAACTGGGCGCGTGGGAACGAGTCTGTGAGCGGACTGGACACCCTGAGACTGGCCCAGTACACCGTAGAGGACCATTACACCTCCGCGTCTGAGGCCGTGTATGAGACAGGTACACAAGAACACACACACTGCAGGCAGATGTCTGATGAGCAGTTAACTATTATCATTTCATTACGTTCTGTCAATGTTATGAACAAACGTTCTTCCAGTAACGTTAATTAAAACGTTTGTTCATAGTAATCTGGACTTTAATAATGTTCTCAAAATGTATATACATTGGAACGGTTAGTTGGACATTTTTTAAATGTTACTACTAGGGCTGTCACTTTTGTGAAAATGTTCGATTTTTGAGACATAAGTGTTCATGAATCGATTTTCCATGTCTAAAGACGTTTCCATTTTCAACACCAAATACAGGCAAATCCACGGACACCTAACAGGCGTTAGGACGAGCGTAAAGAGGCGCTTGAGACGCACAAGTCAGCAATATTCCTGATGATTTATTGACGTGAAGTGTCGTGCACAATGACAAACAGGAGCGCAACATTCAGGGATTGAGATTAACTCCCTCGACCCGCCAAATGCGGGTATAAATGAACTGTGGCGGGAAACGCTGTCAAATCACGAGCCAATCCGGCGTGTTTCTGTGTTTACTCACTTTGCTGGGGAAGTTCGTGTAAGACAAATCTGCGCGGATTTAGCGCAAATACGCAACTCGTGATCCTCATGATATATTAAATACAGCGTATTGCAGAATCTGCTCATTTCTGGCGTACTTGAACACACACGTCACTACTCAATAGGGGTGGAACGGTACACAGAAGTCACGGTTCGGTTCATACCTCGGTTCAGACATCACGGTTCGGTACGATTTCGGTACAATGGAGGGAAAAGCAAAACAAAAATGCAGAAGGCATTGTATTTTTTAAATAAGTTTTATTAATAAAGGCATAGAACCAGTTTATTTGTAGTGCACTGACAATAGTTTTATATAATTGTGTTATTTATTAAATTAATAAAAAGACAAAAAGACCTTGCGATGTTATTGTACCTGAATTAATTTAAAATTTATTTGCTATATTTCAGATCAATATATTTGTTTTCCTTAATTTTAATTAACATTATTAATTAACAATGTAACACCATTCTCATCTGAATTAAAAATAATTGATTTCTGTGTAAAATAATACTACCATTAAAAACACATTCGATTTTCTTTTTTAATCAATGTAGAATGTGTAAGATTAGTGCTCTGAGGACAAGAAATGAAAACCAATGCGATGAATGTCCAAATGATGGGACCCACAGACTGTTTTGAAATGGAGTTGGATAAATATGTTTTGCTTTTAAAACAGTGTGTGTGTGTGTGTGTGTGTGTGTGTGTGTGTGTGTGTGTGTGTGTGTGTGTGTGTGTGTGTGTGTGTGTGTGTGTGTGTGTGTGTGTGTGTGTGTGTGTGTGTGTGTGTGTGTGTGTGAGAGAGAGAGAGAGAGATTTTGGTTGGGTAACAGTTGTAGGTTACAGTTTGACGAGAGTTTACAGTGTGACAAAAGCACAATGTTGTGTTTTATTGCGAGTGTACACAAATATAAGTAAACACTTTGCAGGTTTAATGATCTGTATGAACAAAATGACGGAGTATGTTTTTTATGTTTCCACTGTTCGATCGCGGCCGCGCCTCTCTCTCACACACACACACACAAACACACACACTCCAGCATTGCAATCTTGACATCGCAGCCTGTTCATTATGTGGTCACACCAAACGCGAATAGAGCGTTAAATTCGCGTCTATCGCGTCTAGTTCGACGCTAGTCCAAAGCGAATAGGACGCGCGTATAAGCCAACGTTTGAAGTGAACGCACGTTCAGAGCTAAGCCGATGGTACAGATTATGTGTCCCTAAAGAACCCGCGTATCTAACAGTCGCATTACATTAATTGATTTGCACACAAGTTTTATTTATTTTTATACCGTGTATTCTCCGTGTAAATTCGTGCACCGAACCGTGACGCCCGTACCGTTTCGGTTCGGTACGAATACATGTACCGTTCCACCCCTACTACACAACAAATAACGGCGCTTGTTCAATTGCATTGAAGTAATAGCGAATATTAAAAGCATTTGGTGAACAGAAAAGACGTTATTTTCCAACATCCTACATGTTCTGTGTGCTGTATTGATCTGTCCACCTAAAACACATTTTTGGTAAAAAAAAAAAAAAGGGCGTTAAAATCGATTCCCTATTTTCGTTTTCGAAACTTGTGTTGGTTGGTCCGATCGATTGTGCAATCGATTTTCGAACGTAAAGTGACAGCCCTAGTTACTACTTCTTGGGGAACGTTCAGAGAACGTTCACATAATGTTTGCAAAACGGAATGTTCGCATAACCAAGACAAAACTTTAAGGGCCCTTTCACACCTACCTTGTTTGGTCCGGACTTTCGGACTTTTCAGTTTGGTCCGAATCAAAATTACAGGTGTGAAACCACGGTCCGGACCAAACAGATGAAATGTGGTCCGACGAAAAGAGGTAGTCTCGGTCCGGATCAAACTGAACAAAGGTTTGGTTCGTTTCTAGTGTGAAAGCATTTCTGTATGGTTCAGACTTTCGGACCTTTTACAGGAAGTTGAGCCGTGGCACATGGGTAGAAGAGGAGACGAGGTTTTTAATTGAAGTATGGTCTGATGACATAATAAAAAGTCAACTTGCAGTCTTCTCCTCCTTTCCTGCCGGCGACGATAAAATGTTCGCACAATGAGGACGTTCATTTGGCGAATTTGAACTAGCCTTTTGTATAGTTGGTGCTGCAGGTAATTATGACATAAAAATAACAATATAGTTGCAACGATATGCGTCTGTTCATTCATGTTGTCAAAGTTACCCGCCGAATTGACGACACGCTGACGTCAGACGCACATCCATTTACAAACCAATGATGTCAAGATGTAGCCAACATAGATGATGACGACAGGACGCAAGTCACGTAAAGTTCTTTAGTGCGCTCGCATAATTGCAGTGTGAAACCAAACCAAAACTTTCTGAAAGTATAAAATGTATCAAAACGTGAACTTTGGTTCGGACCTTGGTGCGGACTTTCAGGTGTGAAAACGCCCTAAAACGTTTTTAAAAATTTGACTTTTTAAACATTCAGAGAACATTCGAAAATAACTTTTTCATTACTTATCAGTGTGACTCCTAAACAATAATCTGGTGGATTCACTCTCATATTTCAATGAGGTCATTATTCCCATAATTTGACGAGTGACATATAGAAACCACTCCGATAACTTCTAAATCTCTTGATTTATTGATGGTTTTGAAGCAGAATACTTTTTACTTTAGCGTTAAAGTTTTATATCACTGAGAAAAGATTCTTTGATTCTCTTCCCAGGAAATTATCCCAGGCTGATCTTTCATTTCGAGCTGAAGAGGAGCATCTTGTACTTCATCCTGGAAACCTACGTTCCCTCCAGCCTGCTAGTGGTTCTGTCCTGGGTCTCTTTCTGGATCAGCCAATCGTCTGTCCCCGCTCGCATTTGCATAGGTACAGTTGTGCATTTCATTGTATGATATTTGAACACGGAACAATTTGTCCTGGGAAAATTCAGCTTTGATCACAGGAATAAATGACACTTTACTATATACAGCAGTTTTACATTGGAATAATATTTCACAATTTGATCAAATAAATGCAGCTTTGACGAGTATAAGAGACGTCTTCCTAAAAAATCTTACCGACCATAAATATTAAAATGGATTTTCTGTGTAATACTAATGATGCAATTCATAAATTATTGTAACTTGTGCATGCAATTAGGATGAATATGACGATGAACAATTTGTCCCTGGAACTTTTTTCCCCCCAGACCTATTGCTGTCTGCGTTCCCACCGGAAGTTGTCTGGGGTTTCCCAGGCTGTCAGGCGGCCAAATCGCGGCTAAAATCGCACAGTGTGCTTAAAGCACCGTGAAGATCATAGGCAATTACTCCGGTGACGTAGGACAGCGCGCGACTTTACAGTTCCCGCTGGATTTCATCCTCTGAATTTAAGCTTAATAAAGTGTTACGGTCCCGGGTCTAGGTCAGGGTGCAACATAAATGCCAAACAAATTATTCGTATTTACCCATTTTATTTTAATCTTCTTGTTCTCTGGATATTAACAACTCAATTTCTTAAACAAATAAGAAACAAAAACCAAACAGTTTGGAAGCAAAAAAAGTGTCAGGGGTGAGCTAATGCCTGAAACAATAAACAAACAAAAACTAACTTCCCCACAAGAAAACTAACTTCCCTATGAATCAAAATAAAAGAAACAAAACATACAATTACACACCCTTCCTCCTTATCTAACCAATAAACAGGAGAAAAAGTGGAGGCCTTTTAGCCAACAAAATAAATAAGGCACTCACCCACTACCCCTTTAGACTAGATGTTAGACTTTGTAACTTTATTTAGTATTCATCTCTGCTTGTAATTTGTTCTTATTTTATGACTGACTGTTCTCGTGTCTTTAATAATGTTTGAACTTTATCAGTTAGGCTAATAGTTTTTGATGTAGTATCGAAGAACTTCAAGGGCCCTATCTTGCACCCGGCGCAAATGACTTTCTACACCGACGCATGTATCATTCCTATTTTGCACCCGCGCAAAGCAGGCTTATCCCTCCACAGACGCACGTCGGTAAACTAGGAAATGAACTTGCGCTCCCTGGGCGGGTCGGCGCAAAAAAGAGGCGTGTTTCGGCACAAACAATCCCTGGTGAAAACAATTCCGCCACTGACCAGAAGAAACCTAGTCTAAAGTCAGTGGCGCATTGTTCATAATGCTGTTTTAAGCGCGCATGCTTGGCCATAATGTAGCGGGTGCACAACGCGCACACACTTTGATTCTCTCATCAACACAGATGCAGCAGTTTTTATTTTTGCAAATCATACATTATAACAAGGAAAAATATTAACACATGAGGGAAATCATTGTGTCCACGAAGATGTAAAAAAAATCTAGGCCTAAATCTAGCTTACACATTTACCCACATTTTTTAATTTTTCAATTGTAGTAATGACGGATCAGACCTGTTTGCCCAATAGTGGCAAGACACATATGTATATAAGGACATCTGACAAATTAGTTTGTCCGTCAAGAACCAGAAAAAAAAAAAATCTCCCATCCCCATACAACGTCACTTCTCTGTCTTTCACGGCCCTGACAAGAACGTCGGTCTCCTCGGCTGTGAACCGCTCCTGGCGGTAAATCCGCCGTTATAATAGCAAATCCGCCATGCAACATGCGCGCCTGCTCTTAAAGGGAATGTGAGATGACGCTCTGATTGGTTTATTTCACGTTACGCCCAAACCACACCTATGAATAATGAAGCTATTTCAGACCAACCCCTTTAAACTTGTGTCGGGCGCAAGAGGCATTTATCCCGCCGGTAAAATAGCAACAGCGCCGAGACCCGCCCACAAAGTTACTTGCGCTTTGCGCTTGATACTTGCGTTTCAGATCGTTAAAATAGGGCCCCAAGTGAGCTTTAAGTAATAATTAATTGAAAAGCAAAGTTACAACCCCCCCCCCCATATATATATATATATATAAAAAATTCCTTTTTTTGCTGATCTGAAAAGTGATCCAATCCATGGCTCAAAAACCGTAAATGATCTGAACCGTGAATGTTGCGATCCGTTGCACCACCACTAGCTGATGTTCTCATGTCTCATAAACACTGAGCAGTGTTCAGAGCTCGCACTGTGTGTGTGTGCTTGTTACAGGCGTGACCACTGTCCTGACGATGACCACACTGATGATGGGCGCCCGCACGTCTCTGCCCAACGCCAACTGCTTCATCAAGGCCATCGACGTGTACCTGGGCATCTGCTTCAGCTTCATCTTCGGAGCGCTGATCGAGTACGCCGTGGCCCACTTCTGCACGCTGCACCACCCCGACTGCAACAGCGCACTCGTGGTGAGAGACGAGCAGAGGACTCATCACGGCCTTCATCATCATCATCATCATACTGTGCTCATCATCATCATCATCATACTGTGCTCATCATCATCATCGGTGGTGTTTTCTGTGGTAAGCAGCACTATTATTGAGTTGTCAAAGGTACACTGAAATTTTAAAATGTGAGGCTTTTGAGCGCTGAGTGGAATCGTAAACACCTCTGATTGGCCGTTGTGTTCACGCGCTCATCAAATATGTCTGTGATTGGCTACAAGGATCAGCGCTTCAAAAACATGTTGTAAATATACATCAATGACGCTCTTCAATGAGCGCTTAGACAGATACACACGCGAGCCAGGGTTTCCGTCGTCCGGTAATTACCGGACATTGGCTGAAAAAAAAATGAAATGTCCGACAAAATTAAATCTCTCCGTCAAATTGTCAGATTAAAATTGCCTAATAATCCCGCCCCCCTAACACAATATGAATTTGAGAATAAGCCTAAAATGTATAAAGCAAAAATACACCGATCTTTGGCTATGTTATAAAGGAACAGGCTCTACCGTTTGAAAGTTATTAAACAACATCGCATGCTGCATTTCAAATAAAGCGCACGCCTAGAACGGCTGTAATATAGACCTAAACAACGAACGATTGAGTGAGACGTTTCAGATATGGCCAGGCCCAGGCAGGCTAGCCTTAAAGGAACACTCCACCATTTTTTTATTCTTTTTTTTTATTGTGGTTATTCACGGTCTCCCCTACATTTAGATGCATGTAGGGCAAATGCATGTTTGGAAGCACTGCTACTTGGGCGCAGAGATATCACGCAACACCTGAAATAAAGCTTGACACAAATAACCGGCGAAAGTAATGATTATGCATGAAACATTTGAATTATTGATAAAGTTGATAAATTGATAAAGTTGACGATGCAGACTCGCCATCGCCATCTCGCTATATTGTCCACTATATTTGCTTCTTATTTATTAATCCAGGCAAATTTGTTGATGAAACATGGATTAAAATTAAGATACAATTTATACTAAACGAAATTTTCAAGCAAAAATAATATTCGAAGATCGCTGGGTTGATTATTATTCGAAAATCGCACCCCTCCACCACATGCACGCACATTATAAGTTAATTACACATTATAAGTGACGCTTATTATAAGTTAAAAAACTTAAACATACGTTTCATATTTATAAAACGTTTCATATTTATAAATAATATAATGTTATTATTTTTTTATTTCATCTATGTTGATTATATGAAAAGGGAACCGCATGAGATGAGTAAGATAGGATCATAAGATGACCAATATATCGGAAAACATTTGGAATGGGTCAGACATGATTTTGACCACTTATTTAGTTTTGTTTTGTAGAAAGCCTTTCTTTAAAGTTTATTTTGTTTTGTATAAATTGTATCTTCATTTTAATCAATGTTTCATCAACAAATTTGCCTGGATTAATAAATAAGAAGCAAATATAGTGGACAATATAATCAAGACACGGAGGCGCCGGCGCGTGCACACTATGAAGTGTGCATTTCTCTCTCTAGGTGCGTTCACTACTGCGAAGATGGCGAGTCTGCATCGTCAACTTTATCAATTTATCAACAGTTCAAATGTTTGCATAATCATTACTTTCGCCGGTGCTTTGTGGCAAGCTTTATTTCAGGTGTTGCGCCCAAGTAGCAGTGCTTCGCCTGTGTAGAGTCTCCGCAACGGCGATCGACTGAAACGCGCGTCCGAGTGAAGATTGCGCAACTCGCGCAGCGCGTCGTCCATGCAACTGATAGCAGCGGACACGAGCGCTCAGCTTGATTTCAAAAACAACTGATTTTAGCGCTAGATCTCTTAGTTAATAGCGAACTAAATGAATGATCTGCTAGTTAACTGGAGATGTTTTATTTATTTGTATTAGGTACATCCGTGCCTCAATGTTTCAAAAAGTGAATGTGTGTGAAACCATAGTAAAAAACAATTGGTGTTGATTGACGCCAATCGGACTTTCATGTTTTTTTTCTGTCTATTTGAAAGTCAGGCTAATAATAACATGTTGCATTCTATACGGCCTGATAATGTAATTTTTTAAGTTACATAGCCTGCCTCCAGTTTTCCTCAACTTGACTAATTAAGAGGCGATATTTGACCGGCATATCATCAAAATGTCCGTTAAACGAAACCTCTACTTTGACCGGCACCATTTTTTTCTAGC